GCCTGGAACTAAAATCTTCGGTCAGCGGGCACCGGGCAAGCAAGATCCTTCAGAAGGCACAGACACAGCTGCTGAATGAACGGGTGAGACAGACCAATTTTACTATTGAGGCCTTGAAGGCCAAAGAAGAGCACATTAAACAGAAACTAACTATGTGTCTAGATCAGACCACACTTGAGCAAGTGTTGGACTGTACAGATCAGGCACGCTTAGCACAGCATGTCAAGTCCAAGACTCGACAACAAAACAAGTTTAACTTACTAATAACTCATCAACAACATCACTATTCCAATAACAACACATTCAGTGTAGGACAACACTCCAGTAGTCAATTACATGCCAGGGAGACAGAAAAGTGGGTGAAGAATTTATCTGACAGACAGCTCACCCAGCCAGAGACAGAGATTCTTGCCAGGGGACTGAACTTTGCGGTTGCACCAAGTAGAATTCCTCTGGTGGAGATGATCACAGCTACTGAGTCAGCCATCCGCAACAACAAAATTAAAGAGGCTGAAGCAGAACAGCTCAGAATCAAAGTTTCAGCCTGCCTCAGCAATGCCAAACCACCACCTTCCAACATCAGTAGAGAGGAGAGGGACGCACTCACCACTCTTAGCAAGGACAAAAACATCATCATTCTCCCAGCAGACAAAGGAAGGTGCACAGTGATTTTGAACCAGAAAGACTATCATGAGAAAGTTATGATACTCCTTAGTGACGTAAACACTTATGAACCTCTGAAAAGAGATCCAGGAAGTGGTTACAAGAAGAAAATGATAGATAGCCTGAAAATTTTGGAGCAGGACAAGGCTATTGACCGTTTTCTGTACCACAGACTGTACCCAGGGGAGGCCACACCTAGTCTGTATGGTTTACCTAAAATCCACAAACAAGGTGTACCTTTAAGACCAATCGTTAGCATGATTAACTCTGTCACTTACAATGTTTCCAAATATCTGGCGTCTGTACTCATCCCTTTAGTTGGCAGCTCAGAACACCACATACAGAACACCATGGACTTTGTGGATAAGGTGAGGGATGTCATCATGGAGACTGATGAAACAATGGTTTCTTTTGATGTCACATCACTCTTTACATGCATTCCTGTTGATGATGCAGTAGAGGTGGTCAGTTTAAGATTAAAATCAGACACCACTCTGAGCAGCAGGACCACACTTTCCACAGAACAACTGTGTCAACTCTTGAAACTGTGCCTGCAGTCAACCTACTTCACATATGGGGAGCAATATTATAGGCAGAAACATGGGTGTGCTATGGGGTCTCCAGTTTCTCCTATTGTTGCCAACCTGTACATGGAGGAGGTAGAAAAGAGAGCCTTGACATCCTTTTCAGGGACACCACCAAGTCATTGGTTCAGGTATGTTGACGACACCTGGGTTAAAATTAAATCTCAGGAAGTCCAACATTTTACTGACCACATCAACTCTGTGGATAAATACATCAAGTTCACACGAGAAGATGAAAAAAATGGCAAGTTGGCTTTCTTGGACTGTGAGGTCTCAGTCTCTGATAGAGGACATTTGCAAACTGAGGTGTACCGCAAACCCACCCACACAGACCAGTATTTGCAGTTTGACTCCCATCACCCTTTGGAGCACAAGTTAGGAGTCATCAGGACTCTGTATCACAGAGCAGACAGCGTCCCCACTAGCTCAGGAGCCAGGCAGAAGGAGAAATCCCACACAAGACAGGCTCTAGAACAATGTGGATATCCTAACTGGGCCTTCCTAAAAGCAGAGAAGAAACCCAAACAGGACTCCAGTCAGCCATCAGGTGAAAAGAAGGAACCCAGACCCAGACCAGTGGTCATTCCGTATGTTGAGGGGGTATCAGAGAAACTGAGATGTTTATTTTCTAAACATAACGTCCCAGTGGCTTTTAAACCCCAAAATACATTACGGCAAAGACTGGTTCATCCCAAAGATCCAGTCCCCCGGCACAAACAGAGTAATGTTGTGTATGCTGTTCAGTGTCAGGAGGGCTGTGATCAGTCTTACATCGGGGAAACCAAACAGCCACTGGCCAAAAGGATGGCCCAGCACAGAAGATTAACATCAACAGGCCAGGACTCTGCGGTCTACACTCATCTCCAGGCCAGCGGTCACTCTTTCAGGGATGAAGATGTTCACATCCTGGACAGAGAGGAACGATGGTTTGAGAGAGGAGTAAAGGAGGCCATCTTTGTGAAAAGAAATCATCCATCATTAAACAGGGGTGGAGGCCTCCGGGTTCAACTGTCCCCCTCTTACAATGCTGTGATTGCTAGTATCACTCAGCCCTCTGTGAGTAGTAAACAGCCATCAGTGTGCTAATGACCCATTGTTATGCTGATGGTCCTTCTTGAGCATGTGATCAGCTGGTTTTGGTTGTCAGCAGCAAACTGGTTGATCCACCCTGAGAAGGTGCTATTTAAGAGACTGAGCTGAAAACAACACCTCAGACTGAGGAAGTCTCTTGGATGAGAGTCGAAACGTTTCTAGATTTTTTTGCTTTGTTTTGTTTTTTGTTTTTTTGAATGTCCAGAGGACCAGATTGAACTTTTTTGGAAACAGTAGTGTAGTTTTAACTGTAGTGCCTGCACTTCCCCAATAGATGGCACACTACAGACACATTTACCTTTAATGGAGGTAAAGTTAAAGTGAAGAAGTAGTCTTCTTCTTTTTCACTTTTTAGCTTTGCTCTATGAACCATTCTGAAATAATTAGCTTATCAAAGAACAGTAAAGAGGACAGTGAGTGTTGAGTGTTTAAGACAAGTCAAGTCAAGTCAAGGTTGTTTATTGACATTTACACCACAAGTACAAAGTAGTACATGTCATGGAATGAAATTGTGCACACAGGGTCCCAGTTATATCCAACAAAATTATAAATTGTAAAGAAAAACATTAGTAAGATCTAAAATATGAACTAAGATATATGCTAAAACTAATAACATACTAAGCACTAATAGTACAAAAACTACGCTGAACAATAGCAGCACAAACATGAGTTTGCGTGAGCAGGTGAGTATGAATTAACACAACAGCATGAAATAAATCAGCAGCATGAGATCAGCAACATGGATAGTCAGCAGAACATATCAACAATCAAAGTCTCATTACAGTGATTTTTTTCCACAGTGATACTCCTGATTAGGGATTCATGAGTCTAACAGCTTTAGGGTAGAAGCTGTTCCTCAGTCTAGTGGTTCTACGCTTAATGCTCTTCAACCTCCTGCCTGAGGGGAGCAGGGTCAAAATTGAGTGTACTGGGCGTGTGGGGTCCTTCATGATGCAGGTGTCCCTTTTCCTGCATCTGGAGGTATAGATGTTCGTGATGGTGGGGAGGCTGACTCCAACAGAGTTCTGTGCAACCTTCACCATTCTCTGCAAGGCCAGATCTACCATACAGGAAATCGGGGCACGTGCCCAAGGGCCCTTGGCACAGAGGGGCCCTCTGCTGGCAGAATTGTTTTGGCTGCAACAACAAACACCGGGCACTGACTTCCCTCATCTGTGCGATACAGCACTGTGAGGGAGCATAGGCGTCGCAACCATTATATGTGAAGGAGACATGTCACACCCACATTAAAAAAATGTTCGTTTGGACAACCCCCCCCCCCCCCACACACACACACACACACACACACCCACACCCACACACTTTTAAATATGAGTTCAGGCGGCGCAGTTTCTCTTTCTTTGTGAACAAATCCATTCCACTTGATTAATAGGAGAATACTCAAGCCACTAAAACTCCACGCCAGGTTTATCTAAAAAAGTTAAATCTGGTCCTCTGGACATTAAAAAAAATAAATAAATAAAATTGTAGAAACGTTTCACCCTCCTGACACTGAACAGCATACACAATATTACTATGTTTGTGCCGGGGGACTGGATCTTTGGGATGAACCAGTAGACGAAACGTTTCTACAATTTCTTGTTTTGCTTTGTTTTGTTTTTGAATGTCCAGAGGACCAGACATAACATTTTTAGACAGTTCTAGTAACGTTTATAATGTGGGGGATAAAAGACATGTCCTGATCAAAAATAACACCAAGATTTTTAACCTTAAAGCTGGAGGACAGATTAATGCCAACCAAGAATGGCAAAAGACTGAAAAATGTATTCCTAAGAATATTCCTATTTCATTGTTTACATGTCCCACAACCCTAAGCTTTGTAGCTTTCTTATCCAGTTTTCGTCTTTCAGCATCTAGGACATATGCATAAGCAACACAACCAAATACTTTCATATGACTCATGTCAGGTTTTTTTTTTTTTTTTTGCCAAAGCACTATTGGCAGGTCTCCTGCTTCATGCTCTATAATCCAGATAAAAAAAATCCAACAAAGTCAATTCCTCTGGACGGGTTCTTTTTGTTGAACAATTTCGTCGAACAATTTCGTCTTTCATGCAAAATACTTCATTAGTCTGAGGAGCTGTAACAAATTCTGTAAATGGTTCATAATGAGATGTTTCAGTGTTTAAAGGATTTTTTTCCTTACTGTCTAATGCTTACTCAAAGGTTTCATTTATATAGTGTCTTGAGATAGCTTTTGGTCTTCAGTTGGCATTCTTTGAAACAATATATATATATATATATATATATATATATATATATATATATATATGTATACCAGTAATGTATTCATTTTGTGTGTATGTGTACTTGTTTGTGTATGTTTGTGTGGGAAGAGTTCTTCTGTATCGCACACATCAGACTCTCCAAAGAATGGCATCCAGGTGACCTGGATACCAGAAGCATCACAGGACATACATTCCATTCAGTTCCAGTGAGACCAAACTAAATATTGTACTTTTTTAAAAATCTTGATATGTTCAAGTAAGTTGACTAAAATAGTAACACTTTTCAATTTGTTTATGTCTCTACAGTGCAACCTTTGTACAGAATTACCAGACCTTTTGGGTTGATGTGACAAGTCCTGTTCTGAAGCTTGCAAATAACCTTTCCACCAGCTCTTTACTTGTCCAAAGTACATCGGTTCCCATCTTGATGTCAACAACTGTGAGTACTCATGCCAAT